TTATAGTTTTCTCCTTTTGTATTGATGATCACTATAATTAACTACAATATACAACTTGCTACTGAAGTTTCTTGTGTATGAAATATTCTAAATTCATGAAGCAAAAAATTATTACAAAATTGTAGTGATAAATTTTTTACTTTTGCAGGTCAATAACATCAATCAGCCTTTGGAAATTACAGCAATTTCATCACCAGAAACTTCAGTGAAGAGCTCTCCTATTCCCCATCAAGATAATGAAGGACCTCCAAATTTGAAAAAGAAAAAGGTGTTTGCCTCCAATGGCGTTCATTATTCTCCACTTACATCTGATGAAGAGCAGGAGGAGGAAACTGAACAGATTAATGGAAGGTAGGCTCATGTAAACAGAGGTTCACATGCTAATTTAGAAAGATTTATGTGACTGAAGCTAAACATTTAAAATGCAATGCAATTAAAATTGTATTTCATGTATATATAATGCGTATAAAATGCCAAGCAAGAATTGAATGGTCTTGTAAGGTTTGGCGGATCATTTCTGCACTAAGTGATAAGGTTGTGTTTTCTTTATCAAGGCAGTGGTTCATTCTCTTTTTTTTTTTGGAACTGATGACCATTATAATTAATTACAATACAGGACCAACGAGCCAAGATTCTTGGCTTATGAAGTATTCTCAAATTACAGGGAACATGAGTGCTGCATGGGCAGCAGATACACCACAACACCGCACTTTGCACGTTCCCCTCCAAGCCAATCATCATCCAGACATTGGAGTATATTGCTGTTTCTTCAATGTCACTCCGTCAAAATCTTGGAACTTCCTCTGGCATTGTGGGTGTACTTACACTAAATGGATTGCAGTGGTACAAGAAAGCAGCACTCCACCACCTTCTCTAGGGTTACTAGGGATGGGCAATTGATGCTGGCCCAGTCAGAGATGCCCACACCCTGTGAGTGAATGGAAAAAATCTAACTCATTGTGTACTCTTCAGTTCCAAAAGAGAAATAATCTTTATTGTAAAGGAAGGGTGTTGAGATAATGCAAATATTCATAATTTAGAACACATCGGTTCTGAATACAAATTGTGTGAAATAAATCTCAATTAATCTGCTGAACAATTGTTTTGCATTTAATCATGACCTTTGGTTATCTATCTGCTGTGGTAATCATATTTTTAAAAAGCAAGTGTCAGTGGTTGGCCAAATGGTGTGAGATGTCGGTTTTTTTGCTAAGATCAAGTTGGAATAACTGTAGAAGCTTAGAGTCATTTGAGAATAGCATGCCAGAATCCTGCTTTGAGAATCCTTGGTATTGACATTTTAGACTAATGGATTTAGTGATCTAAATGAATTTCCTTCTTGAAGTCCAGTTTATTTTAATATCTGGCAAAAGTTAAGTATTAGTCGGCCCTCTTATACTTGCAGCTGTTAGGATAGTACATGACTTCTTGTAGTTGAAGTTTTCTATATTCAAGAGATTGCTGTACTGTTAAATATGGTACATGAAATACTTGAGAGCAAAACATTATTTTACTCCTGATGAGTCTGAAAAGCAGCGTCTTGTGAAACTTAACAAAAAGCAAGAATACAGTCTCTCTTTCCCTAATCTTTCTTCACAAAACAATCCTGCCATCCTAATGATGAATCTGGTAAACCTCCTTTGAGGAAGTGCAATGACAAGTATACCCTTTGTTAGATACACAATAATCCAAGTCAGATCTCCATGTTTGGAGGTTTGTCTTAACGAATTCCTTTTCCATTGGTTTGCTCTTCATGTTAATAGAATGTGGCATCATCCCATCAACAGAGCTGGAAGAAATGAGAGTATTCTCCCTAAAGAAGTTTATCAATGCTTGATAATTGTGTTGTGAGGCCGTTGTTTAGTGAACGTTGCTGCAGGCAAGAGGAGAAGAACCAATCTTGACTGCTGATCGATGCATGAAAACTCAGTTTCTACTTCTGTTCAGAACCTTTACACTCTTGGAAAATGTTTATGAAGTTTGACTTTTGCTTGGAAACTTGACAGCATTTCGTTTGCCTCTTAGTACTGGTCCACTAATGCTTCACATTCGTTTGGTTCCTATAAAGCAATCCTTGGTGTCTGATTATAATGAAGTGTCATATTAAATGTGCTGGATCTTCTGATTTATCAGTTAGTGACTCTGCAAGCATTTAAGGGATTGGCTTCAATAATTGAATTGCGCTGCATGTAACTTTATATGAATAGGAACATGGAAAAAAGTGGGTTGACCATTTAACCGCTCGAACCTCCCTTACCATTCTTGATCATGGCTGATCATCTCCATGTCATTTTCCCTAATTAACTCTGTATCCCTTGCTGTCAGTAGCCTTCAGAGTCTATCAGTTTCCGTCCTGCACTTGCTGAATGATTGAGCTTCTAGAGCCCTTGGGTGTGAAGAATTCCAAAAGTTTACCACCCTCTGAAAGATTTGCTCCTCATTTTGGTTCTTAAAGGACCTGCTTTTTATCTTGAGATTATGTTCCCTATTTCTGTACTGGACAGCTAGGGGAAATATGCTAAAAATATCCAGTCTGTCATTACCCTGCAAGCATCTCAAGCTTCAATGCGATCAGCTCACGTTCTTCAAAACTCTAGAAAGGTTTTCGTTAGTTTCTCCTCACAAAACAATCCTGCCATCCCAGGAATTAGGTTCACCATATTATGTTGCACTTCCTCAAGTATATCCCTCCTTAGATGCAGACCAAATCTGTACACGATAATCCAGGTCACATCCCCTCAAATCTGTATGTAATTGCAATACTGTAACTTTGCTTCCAAACACTCAACGCCATGAAATGAATACCAGTGTGTTGTTTGTCTTTCAACTGCTTGCTGCATCTGCATGCTAGTTTTTGGTGACTTTTGGACAGCTGCACCTCCCAACCTCTCCTCATGAAATATTCTGCCTTGCAGTTTTCTGACCAAAATGAATGACTTCTCACTTCTTAACATTATATTCCACCTGGCAAGTTCCAGTTGATCTACTTCACCTGACCACGAGCTCTGGACCTCTTGAAACTTCTTTGCACCCTCCTCGTAGCATGGGTTTTCACCCCGATTGCTATCTTTAGCAAATTTCCAAGTCTTTCAATAGATCTCTGCAAATAAATCGATTATTTAGATTATGAACAGTTGTGGATCAAGCACTGACCTTTATGATATCCCGTGAGCAACAACCTGCTGTCTTGAATGATCCATTTAATCTTATTCTCTGTTTACCCCAATCTCATGCACTCTAATTTTATTTACTGGACTCTGTTTGGAAATGATCCGAGAAACCAAAATAAAAAAAAAAATTCTGATAATCTAAATACACCACCTCCACTGGTCCTCCTTTGTCTCTCCTATGAATAACATCTTCAAAAACTCCAAGTGTGTGAAACATGATTTCTCTTTCGTATATCTGCGTGCCCAATTTTGCCATTTTTTTCTAAATGTTTAGCCTACTGCTGATGTCAACATAACAGTTCTGTGGTGTTCCGTTGTCCCTTTTCCTTCTTAAATAGAAATGGAGTTGCATTTTCTACTTTCTAGTCAGCAGGAACCTTTCCACCATCTCTGAATTACGAAAGATAATCGCCAAGTAAATTGGCACAGGGTCAACAAGATTGAAAGTAAATGCGTGGCTCAAAGATTGGTGTGGGAAATACTGGTTCAAATTCATGGGACATTGGCACCAGTACGAGGGAAGGAAGGAGCTGTTCTGATGGAACGGGCTCAACCTGAATTGTGCTGGGACCAGAGTCCTGGGGAATGGCTTAACTAGGGCTTTAAAGTAAATAGTAAGTTTAGTTGCGTAGAAAATTATGGATAAAGTTAAAGGGGCGGGGCTCAGCAGAAGCCATTACAGTTTCCAGAACAAGTAATGAGATACAGATTCCTGATCCTTTCCGTAGACCTAATTTCAAGCACAGCAGATAAGAGGACAACTATGAGAAGGATGACAGTCAACACAGGACTAAGGGTGTTGTATTTAAATGCATGTAGTGTACAAAACAAGGTAAATGAGCTTGTAGCACAGATTGATATTGTCAAAAATGATGTGGTGGGTATCAC